ATAATAATAATACTAATAATAATAATAATAATAATAATAATAATAATAATAATAATCATAATAATAATAATAATAATAAGTAATGATCATAATAATTATATAAAATAATAATAATAATAATAATAATAATAATAATAATAATAATAATAATAATAATAATAATAATAATAATAATAATAATAATAATAATAATAATAATAATAATAATAATAATAATAATAATAATATTGTTATTGTTATTAAAAATAATATTCATTGTAGAAGTAGTAATAATAATAATAATGGTAATAGTAATAATAATACTATTAAATAATAAAATAATAATAATTATAATAATATAAGAATAATAATAATAATAATAATAATAATAATAATAATAATAATAATAATTATAATAATAATAATAATAATAATAATAATAATAATATTATTATTATTATTATTATTATTATTATAATTATTATTATTATAATAATCATCATCATCACTATCATCATCATCAATCATTATATTCTACTTTTGCACGTACTTTCGTAGAGAAAATTCACCACAACCAAACATATTCTCATTTCTACACCTACATAAAACTAAAAATACACCTTCATCCAAACATATTCCCATTTTCTACACAAAAACCAATAATCTACTTTTTCCATCAGAAATTTTGAAAACTAGAAATTCATTTTGGAAACATAACCAAACATCCCCTATGGCTTCTCCAGCTTCTCGCCCATTTCTTTTCCCTTTTTTTTTTGGCCCATTTAATACTAAAACGATGTCGTTTTGCATATTTTTTTTTTCCAAAAGTAACTGTGCCCATTTTTCCTTTTCAATTTCATTTATTATGGTCGGTACTCAGTAGTGGGGGCCCGCTGTCGGTTCCTGACGCAATATTTGCGTGTGCAGCACCCCTTTTCTCTCTCCAACAAATTTCTTTCTGTTTTTCTTTTTATATAATAAAAATTAAAAAAAAGGAATAAAAAAGAAAAAAAAGAAAAAAGGCCCATCTTCTTCATCCCGTCCGCCACCACTCCAAATCCCTAACCCCACCCCCACCCACCCACCTCACCTCACAGCTTCACCATTTCTCCCTTCCAAAAAACCCAAACTTTAAAACCCAAACAAAACCTCTGTTCCCCCTTCCGAAAATTCCATTCCCAGTCACAGTCCTCACATTGAAGGAGATAAAATCCCCAAAAGTCAACCATTCGCCGGCCGGAATTTTTGCCCGGGAAAGATGGGGAATCTGAGAACGGCGATGGACGCAACATTTTGGGACATGAACATATCCACTCCGCAAGCCCTCGACGGTGCTTCCAAGGCGGTTCCCGGCGATCCCATACCCATCGACGGCGGTAAAGCAAGTAAAGCCCTCAGAATTCAGCAGCTATCTCTCTTGGGGAACGGTTTTCCTTTGGGAATCATTCCGTCGTTTTCTCCTTCGGCGAATCCCATACCCATGACGGCTCTTTTGGGAATCCAAAGTTTGCAAAAACTTTGGATTTTTGGGGCCGTGGTTTCTCTGCTGGAAGATTGAAGATGACCATGGTTTGAGGGGTCATGTTCTTGAGGAAGATGTAGAATGAATAAGAGAAGAAAGAAAAAAAAGGGAAAAAGAAATTCCTTTACAAATATTACACCGTCTTCGAATCGATTAAACCATTTGTAACCAAAAAATACTTTCTTCGTAAACAATTGCGTGCTTTGTTGATCCGACAAGGTTATTTGGAAAGTCACATAACAGCTTTTTAGTATTAACCTCACATACATAGGCCTTCTGCTAATCTATTACATTTTTTTGCTTTTGCAAAATTTCTTTTTCTTTTTATTGGAAGCAAAATGTTTCTATTATATGTGTTTTGTTTGTAGAACCTGTATTATTTCATATTCAATAACACTGCCGTGCCTATTTGAAATTTGCATACGGTCCATCCTAGGTTGTGGTGTGCTCTGTTTTAAGTTCTATATTATGTACAGTTTTTTAATCTATGATCGATACCGGCAAGACTCTAATGCATGTTAAGATCTTTTACGATGCGTATGTAATGGGCAAACAGCATCGCGCATTGCGCGGTGCGCTGCCCCTAGTATATATATATATCGACTCTAGATAGAAGAATGTAGAGTATAATATTTTTCTAATTTTGCAACCCTGATTCTGTAATTGTTCTCTCTCTCTCTCTACGTGCGGTGTAATTAACTTTTCATTAATCATTGTTATTATTTTTTGAAGTATATAGTAAAATCTCAATAGATTAATAACTATTTAATATTTTACTATATTAGTAGAATTTTATTAGTCCAATTGTATTAATTTATAGTGGTTTAACTATATTTTGTATAAGGTAATATTTTTGTTCTATATGAAAATAACTTCGTAATATTTATAAACTAATGCAATTATTTACATACTCCTAATATTTTTAACTATAGTTTTCACTCACATGCATGAGATTGGGGGAATATGGTTTGTAATTATTGTTTTGGTTAATTTATTTTGCAGATATGAACATTGTTTAGGACATTGGTGCACATAAATGTTTTTCTAATGCTTTTTTTTTGTTTGGCTATTTATATTTTTGTAGATATATGGATAACATCAATATATGTGACGACATTGGTTGAGCTGAAGCTGCAGACATTGTCAATCTTGCAAATATATTGTTAATCTGTAAATTATCAGTATGAAGAAGAAGAATGATAGGGAGAAGATGGTGTTGCAGAGAGGGAAACGAAGTTTTCATTCATCTAACAGAAATATCTGATTGTTACCATTACAAGAGAGATGAGTTGGATCTTTATACCCAATCATGTAAAAACGTGTTTTTCTAATAAAATGAAAGAAAAAAGTGCTATTTATATAATAACAACTTCTATATAGCAGAAAAGTAAAACTATATTTACATTTATCAATATAGAATATATATATATATATCAACCACCTCACCTCCCCTCAAGATGGAGAGTATACATCTTTTACTTCCATCTTCGGCAGAAGATAAGTGAAACTAGGAGAAGGAAGAGCCTTGGTGAACAAATCGGCCAGCTGATCTCTTTACTTGGAACATGCATGAGCTTAAGAACACTAGACACAACTCTCTGTCTCACAAAATGACAATCAATTTCTATGTGCTTGGTCCTTCATGGAATGCGGGATTGGAAGCAATGTGAACAGCAGCAAGATTGTCACAGAATAAAAGAGAGGACTGAACATTAATGTTGAAGTCTTGTAGAAGCTGAATAATCCAGATGAGCTCACTTGAAGTCATTGATAAAGCTATGTGCTCAGCTTCAGCAGAGCTTTTGGAAACAGTAGATTGCTTCTTGGCCTTCTACGAAATGAGAGAATCCCCAATAAACACACAGAGTCCAGTGGTAGACTTTCTAGTGTCTGGACATGATCCCCAATCTGCATCTGAAAAGGCTTTAACAGAAAGTGAGGATTTGGAAGAGTAAAAAATGCCTTTACCAGGAGAAGCCTTGAGATATCTCAAGATGTGATGAATGGCATGAAGTTGTGGCACCCTAGGCTTGGAAACATATTGACTAAGCTTGTGAACTGCATAGGTAATATCTGGCCTAGTAATGGTGAGATAGAGTAGCCTGCCAACCAATCTCATACACTCAGAACCATCTGCAAGAAGATCTCCTTCTTCATTATTGAGCTGAGAGGATCCATGGGCAGTAAAGCTTTACAGCCCAAATAACCAGCATCCTCTAACAATTTGAGACTGCCTTTGAGAAAGTACAATGCCAGTGGAGTTCCTGGCTATTTCAATACCAAGAAAATATTTCAGCTTGCCTAGATCCTTAAGCTTGAAAAAGGAGTACAACTGAGTTTTAGCCTGCTGTGTCTCAGTGGAAGAAGGTCCTGCAATAATCATATCATCCACATAGACAATCAAAGCAATAAACTGAGAAGAAGAACCTCTAGTAAATAAAGAATGATCAGAAGGAGACTGGGAAAAACCAATTGAAGTAACTGCCTCAGTGAACTTCTGATTCCACTGTCTGGAAGCCTGTCTTAAACCATACAAAGACTTATGCAACCTGCAAACCAGTCTAGAACTGGAAATGGCATCAGATGAAAGCTTATAGCCTTGAGGAATATCCATAAACACTTCTTCCTTAAGATCTCCATTCAAAAAAGCATTGTTGACATCCAATTGGTGAAGTTCCCAATTATGAATGGCAGCTAAAGCCAAAAGAATTTTGACTGTAACCAATTTGGCAACTGGGGAAAAAATATCAATAAAATCTACCCCTTTTTGTTGAGTGAAGACTCTGGCAACCAACCTAGCCTTATATCTGTCTATTGTACCGTCTTGCTTTCATTTAATTTTATAAACCCACTTACAACTTACTGCGTGTTTATGAGTTGGCAATGGTTCTATGGTCCAAGTATGATTATCCTCCAAAGCTTGAAGCTCAGCATCCATGGCTTGAATCCACAGAGGATTTTTAACAACTTGTTTATAAGTGGAAGGTTCTGTGTCAGCTGAAACATTCATAACAAATCCAAGATGACCTGCATAAATTCTATGATATGCAACCTGTTTAGAAATGGGATAAAGAGAGTGTGAACCAAGAATGGAGTTGCATTGAAAATCAGACAAATATGCAGGGGCTTTGGTGCTTCTGGAAGACTTCCTAGGCTGAGGAAGTGATGGAGCTGAAACATGGACATGTGGAGCAACAAGGCTAGAAGGATAATCAATAATAGGATCAGACTTGGTAGAGATAGGAACAATAGATGATAGAACAGAATAATCTGCAGAGGAATATTTGTCAAAATTCATATCTTGATCACCAAAAGGAAAAATGTTCATGGAAAACAACATCCCTAGAAACAATTACTTGATGAGATTGTAAATCATAAAGTTTATAACCCTTGATACCAACTGGATATCCCAAGAAGACACAAGGTTTTGCTCTGGGCTGAAATTTAGACCTCTGAGCTGGCAATGAGGAAGCAAAAACCAAACAACCAAATACCTTGAGAGAGTTATAATCAAATAACTGACCAGGATAAAGCAATTCAAAAGGTGATAGATTATTAAGCTTAGCTGCAGGAGTTCTATTAATCAAGAAAATTGCAGTAGAAATACATTCATTCCAAAAAGTGAGAGGCATATAAGATTGAAACAGCAAAGACCTGGCAACATTGAGAATGTGCTCATGTTTTCTCTCCACTACAACATTCTGTTGAGGTGTGTAAACACAAGAAAACTGATGAAGAACATCTAACTTAGAAAAGAGCTGAGTAAATTGTAACTCATGAGCATTATCAGACCTGAACATTTTGATATTACAATTAAACTGATTTTTAACCATGTGAAAGAAAGAAGGAATTACAGTTAAAACATCAGACTTAGATCTGAGAAGATGAACACAGGTAAATCTAGAGTAATCATCAACAAGAGTAACAAAATACTTGTAACCATTATGAGACTCAACTCTATAAGGCCCCCAAATATCACAATGGATAAGATCAAACATATGAGCAGAAATCGTAGAACTAATAGGAAATTTCAAACGCTTCTGTTTAGCCATAGGACAAATATAACAACATGAATTGCTCTGAGGCTTATCCATAGCTAAGGAAAATTTATTAGACAGAAAATCTAACTTCAACTGAGGAATATGCCCAAGTCTATTGTGCCAAACAGTGGCAGAAATCTTATTACAGAAAATGTCAGTAAAAGAATTGTGAGGCTGAAGAACATATAATCCATCAATTTTGCTACCCTAGCCAATCTTCTTCAAGAACTTGTCCTGAATTAGAAAGAAATTGGAATAAAAAATGACAGTGTGAGGCAAATTTTCAAGCAAAGCACTGACAGATATTAAGTTGAACTTAAAAGAAGGAACAAAAACATTTTGCACATCTCCCATATATTGAACAACAACCAGAGAGCAATCTGGTAATATAACTCGAGCAAAATTTACTTTATGAAGAGAAGAAAATAAAGTTTTATCATTACATATATGACGAGAAGCCCTAAAATCAATGATCCAATAATGAGGTTGAAAAGATGCATGAAGAGAAACTGCTAAGCAAATACCTGACACACAAGAAATCTGTGCAACTTCAGTCTCATCTCCATGAGAATGTTGAGAAGAAACCTGTTTCTGGGCAGCCATTTGATTAGAGAAATATGCCATCAATTGCTGACACTGAGCAGTAGACATGTTAGCTAAAACAGGATCAGGTGAAACAAGGGAAGGTTGAGAAGTACTCCCTGAAGATGTGTAATCTAGTGGAGACTCCATGGCTGAAACTTGATTAACAGAAAACCTACTTTGAGGCAAAGATGATGTAGAGAATTTTGGTTTAGCCTTATAACCAGGAGGATAGCCAAGTAATTTGTAACACTTATCAATAGTATGCCCATAAATGTTACAATGAGTGCAAAATCCTCTGTCATTTTTCTTGGGTGCAAAGTTGTAAAACTGATTATTGACAGGTCTCTTGGTGGATTGATCACTGCGAATGGAGAAGTATAAGGAGTTCTGAACCTCATTATGAGAAGAATGAATGGACCTCTGCCTCTCTTCTTCAGAAATAAGGGCAAAAATCTTGTTTATAGGAGGTAACGGGTCCATGA